CTCCACCTACTAAGATCTAGTCCTGAATTTCTGCGGCGAATATAAAGAACGGCTTCAATTTGCAGATTTTTGCCATGCATAACACAAAAAACACAAGTGCATCTATTCTATAAAGACGATTTTTGTGCAAAAACTATACATGCATCTAATGCGTTAGAGCAAAGTCACTTCGACATACCTACAAAATTCTGAACTCTAGAAATAGTCTGGTGATCGAGAAATTATCGTCACTTATAGAAACATCTACTTTAAACATTACGCGTTAAACATATCTGAAAATAGCATTAACTGAAAATCACACCTTTACAGCAGCAAGCGTCTTATTGAGACGATCAAGTAATTGAGCATGCTCATTCCGTTGATCGCCATCTAGAGCACACCCATCAAACTCCGAAATACGTTGCTGTAGTCGACATAGTACATCTTCGTCTTTTTTCAGTTCCTCAGGTGTTTTCTCAGTCGATTCTGGGCTTGTAATGAGAAGCAGTTGATCTTCGGTATCCTTGCGAGCCGCATTGAAAGCAGATAATGCTGCAATCTTGTCACCAACAGAATCACCAAGCTTTCTTAACAGATCCTTTAATTTCGATAAATCCCATGCACTTCTCTGACGTAATTCTTCGCTGGCATCACCATCGGGAATCGTTTGCAAGAGATCTTCGAGACGTTGCTTCTTACTTTCAAGATCGACAAGCACAGCTTGTTGCTCGCTTAAGTTATGCGGCATCTCATCAGATTGTTGTTGTACACTTTCAGATATTTGAAGGATTTCAGGTGTAACCATATTCAGTCGTATTAACTGTTCAATATCCTTCTTCTTTTCATCACACTCCTTTTGTAGGCATTTAATTTGCTCGGGAAGTGTTTTGTCAAGATCATCATGGCTAGCAATTGGCGACAAACTCATGGCAAAATCCTGACAACTATCAGCAATTCCACGTAATTCTTGCAGCTCAACATCAAGTGAATCAACAAGTTTTTGAGCACTTTCCAGATTTTCGACGTCAACACTACGTAGACCATCGCCAACAGCCAAAATCCTATTTCGAAGCTCGTTTTGTCTTTCACGTGCATTTTCCTCATCAGTTAACGTTCTTTGTAACGTTGACAGCTGCTCCTGAAATTTATGAAAATACTAAAAAATAAAAATTTTACAATTTATATGAATTGAAGAGGTGTGCAGAGAAAGAAAAATCACCTTCACTTTCTCCTTAACGTTGTTCATGTCACGAGCCAGTTGATTTCTTCGTGAAAGATCTTCTTGTGGAATTGCGTCAATTGTTGCTAGCATTGTTGACAAATCTTCAACATCTTTGATGATATTCTCAATTGGAATCGGTACTTCACTGCGATTTTTCAACTTATCATTACAGTCGTTAATAATATCTTGCAATTTGATCGTCTTCTCCTCAAATCTCATCATCTCATCTAACTGATCGTCTAACATTCGACTAATCCTTTCGATTCGATTCGAGAGATCATTCCTTTTCGGCAATAAATCGATAACAACATCAGTGATTGCATCGAGTTTCGCTAATAAACCTGGTATATTTGCTTCTTTAAAATCAACCAATTCATTTGATGAGGTGACGGAAAACGGTTGTGCGTCTTCCAAATATGAAACATCTTTTTCAAGTTGATCCAATAAATCGATAGTCTCATTACGTAGATCTCGTTCACGTAACAATTTTTGTAAATCGTCTTCATTACGTTTCGTTAAATCATCAATTTTATGTCGTGCGTTTTCAATACTGTCCGCGATTTTCTCTTCATCCATCACATCCGATGATAATTCGGCTAGTGCTTTACGAACATCACGAATGCGATGAAGATTCATCTCCAGAGTTTCAATATCGTATGAGCTTGGAAGTGTGTCGATTACATTTCCGATCATTGTAAGGCGTTCAAGCGCTTCCTCTATGGTGTTATCATGTTTCTTTTTCAAATCTCTCAACTGATCGATCTGCTTTCGCAACTGATCAGCGTGATCTGTTCGAAGATTGTTGAGTTGATTTTCGACGTCCACTAATGAATCCTCTGTTAATTCACGAATAGGAACTGTTGTCAGTTGGGACAATTTCATTGTCAACAATGCGATCAATTCTTCTTGTTCATTCATTTCAATAGATGCTTTAGCGCCTTTCATTGATACATCAAGTGAACTCATACGATCGTTCAAGACAGACAATCGCGACGTGTCAGGATCGACATGCTTGCGAGTGTTATTCGCTTCATTGTGTCTTTCTCGTAGCACTGAAAGTTGTGCTTGCAATGCTGGTAATTGAAATTGCTCGATATTCTCCAGACAATCCCTTGTGGGTTGCTCTGCCAAGATGTTGCAAATCGAATTCATTTCAGTAATAAAGTGATCAACAGAATCACATAATCGCTTCTCGTCTTCGATTTCCGTTGACAGTTCACTTAGCACATCTTCATACTGCTTATCGGTTTGTTCCACATCGACATCAATAAACCGCACATCCGCATAAGCGCTTTCCAGAGGATCGAGACGCTCTGAGAGTTCTTGAAGTATTCGAACTTTGTCATTGAGTATGTTGGATTTTTGCCTTTCTGCAGATATGCTATCGAAGTCATTCATTGCGTCATTGATCGATCTTCGTGATTTTGTTAGTACTTCATCAAGAGGTTGCCTCAATTTGTTTAATTCACCGTCCACTTCGTCCCTTACTCGAACAAATTCATCCCAGTTGTTAGCGCGTTCTTCTAGAATTGGAATAATGTTTTCGGCAGATAAAAGTGCAACATTAAGATCTTCCACAGATGGATGATTCTTTGGGGCGTCATGTAAAACTGCGATTGCATTATTGCACTTATTAATAAGCTCTTCAGCAGATGATCTGTATTGTGACGGCACTCCTTCAGCGTCTAATAGTAAGCGATTTGCGTCGTTTACAAGCTCAACAAGTCGGCTCGATATCGCTGATAATGTGTTTCGAAGGGCTTCGTCAGCTGCACAACGAGCGATCTCTTCTTCTACATCCACACGACGTTGCTAAAACTACTCGTTAACAATCCGATACAATCACATTAATCAAATGGCTTTGAAGAAATTTGCTAATATTAACGAATTTTCTTTCCCTTTTCAATTTAACGGAAACTCAAACAAAGACATTGTACATTTAAGAACAACCACCGACATTGAGAATAACTGCTAATGGTGAAATTGACTAGTAAAATAACGCGTCACCCATATACCAATCAGTTTCGCATTTTCAACAATAAACTAGACATCACATTTAAAACAAACACATAACCTAAACGTCTTTATGAATTGAAACCTATCGCAAAGTGTTTAAGAAACCGAATACTTCTCAATCAGCACTAACACACAACGCAATACCTACAGTGAGATCAGTGCGCATGCTACGAAAATAATAGTCGATCTTCAGCTTAAAACAAACACCACCCGAGTGACATAGAAGGCCCTTAACTCCGCAGATAATTGAATACAACACAGACGCTATAGATGATCTCCTCAGAAAACACAAGTTCTCCTATTCTACATAAATGGCACTCCTACTGTCAAAAGCCCAGATTAAAAATCGCTTGAACACACAAATCATCTCCTATAATACACCTACGACCATACCAATAGGGCATTCTTACATTCTAAAGGCGAGATTAGAAATCGCCTG